TTCTGCCACTGGGCTTTGTCCCCTCCTGTGTGGTTTGTACTCACACTTAGTGACTATGTATTCTCTCCATGCAGGTGTTGGCTCTTTCCTCCTCTACTCAGTGCACGAAGGTATCCGGGGCATTCCATTGGATCCCAATGACAAGTCTGATGCCCTAGTCCCAGTCTCTGGAACTTCATTAGCTGTTGGCATTGATTTCCATGCTGGTAGGTGACAAACACATGGAATTGGTTATAGTCCAGAGGGGGAAGAATAGAAGGATAGCTGCCTGTGAGAAGGTGGGATGGGACAGATAGATGATTTATAAAAATTATGTATGTTGCTTGTTGCTGTAGAGGGACTATTGCCTCCCCCTCACATTTACATAGCATCACTCTGAGCCTTTTCTCCACCCTTTCTTTTCTCCCTTCAGCTAATGATACCATCTATTGGGTGGACATGGGCCTGAGCACTATCAGTCGGGCCAAACGGGACCAGACATGGCGAGAGGATGTAGTGACCAATGGCATTGGCCGGGTAGAAGGAATTGCAGTGGACTGGATTGCAGGTACAGTAAGAGGTGGAATTGCAACTGCTCAGAAGTGGAACTGGAGAGTTAGAGTGGAAGGGATGCCAATGCCCTACAGAAACATGAGAAGGGACACATGGCTAAATAATCAGTTGTGCTCCTCTTTCCCTTCAGGAAACATCTATTGGACAGACCAGGGTTTTGATGTCATTGAGGTGGCCAGGCTCAATGGTTCCTTCCGCCATGTGGTGATCTCACAGGGACTGGACAAGCCACGCGCCATCACTGTGCATCCTGAGAAAGGGTAAGAATCAGTTACGTAGGGTGGGGCTTCAAAACTACGGGGGAAAGGGCCACAACAGGAGCAGGCTATGGACCTTATCACACGGGGCCCAAACCAGACAGAATCCAAATGAAATCCCGACCTAATACATATTATTTTTCCGTGTTTCCACACGACGTCGCACAGAACCCCGACAGAACCCCGACAGAAAGCGCAAAGAACCGAGATCTTTTGAATTTCGGTTTTTTCAGGAATTGCAATTGCGCGACGGGAATCATTTTGCATTTACTGTAGGTCTGATAACCAAATACGTATTGTGGCGCATTTCCCCGCTGTTGCCATGGTTCCAGTGAGCATTCCTCTTTCTGCGCATGTGCAGGAGGCTCATTTCGGCTACATTTACGGGTTTTTTTCTCTTGTGTGTGGACACTCAATACACTTACTGTAAAAGCTCAATGAAGGTAATGAAGTTTGCGGAAACGGGTTATTTCCCGTTTATTTTCGGGATGCCTCGTTTCCACTTTATTTTCAGTTTTCTGGGCCACGTGTGATAAGGTCCTATCTCTGTGAAGCTATTGGAGGCTTGTGTATTGGAGCTGGGAAAAGACAAGAACCAAGAATATTGTTATCAGATATTGCAGGGATGTTCAGGTTCTTTTAGCCTGTTGCAAGATCCCAAGGAAGGATGTAGTCACTGCCCAGGTCTTACTTGAGCTTCCTGCTGTAGACCATGGTCTGAATCCAGTTGTGACTCCCAGGTAGAATCAGTTCATGGATTCAGTTTTGATAAATCAGCACTTATTTAAATCCTCCTTCTACAATGGGCTGGGACTAGCAATTGTATTGTTTTAAAGACCTGTTGCCTCTGGTGTGTAGCTTCAGGGTTCCGTGATCTGAAATAGGTGTAGGGAACTGGATTGATCCTAGAGACTGGGTTGATTCCAGACCAGTCTGGGGGGCCAAATAACATCAGTCAAGACATCTCCATAGAAACACACACACTCACAGTATTGTGTGGTCCATTTTGCCTTTCTCCATGCAGATGAAGACATTACTCTCCATGCTTCTCTGCATAGAAAGAATCATTCAGCTAGTCCTTGAGGGAATAGACTAGACATTGGCGAAGTCACATGCTGAAATTGCCCACCTTTCATCATCTTGACTGGAATGCCCGGTGGAAAACAACAGAACTTGGGCAGCACATAAAGAAATCATTCCATCTGAGTACTAAGTCAGCTAAATTCCTCCTGTGCTTTCTCTGACTGATGAAGACTAGGGAGTGTGACAAAGCAAACTCACCCTCAAGGACTCCTAAGATGCTTTCACTCCCCTTCCTCTTTCCCTATTCACAATGCTGGCTGAACTGCAGTTTTGTGATCATGGTTCACTGCCTCTCCCACAGCCCTATCCTACTGAGGGGGCAAGAGTTTAAAGAGATGGCCTGGCCTGTTTGCCCATGCCCCATAGGCTCCTCATTCCTCTTCTAAAATGACAAGAAATCAGCTGATCTTCGCAGGGTCTTTGCAATCCATCTCCTAGCCATGTGATAATTTTCAAAGCAATATAGAAATTCAGTTGGGATTGTTTGGTCTGTGACAGCCCATTCCTATGGCTTGAGACTAGGCTTATCAAGGAACAAACATGAAAAAGCATTGAAACACAGTGGCTAAGAGTGCTGGGCCAGCACCAAAGAGGTCAGAGGTCAGATTCTCATGCATTGATGATGCTCATTGGGTGACACAGGACCAGAAATGTTCTTCAGCATATGCGACCTTACAGGCTTATTGTGGGAATAGCAGGATTAAAAGGTAAATAATGATGACAGCATGCAGGATGAAGGGTGTGGATAAGGATGTGATCCACTGGCCTTTCTCATTTCCTTCAGGTATCTTTTTTGGACAGAGTGGGGCCAGTACCCTCGGATTGAACGTTCCCGGCTGGATGGGACAGAACGTGTTGTCCTTGTCAACGTTAGCATCAGTTGGCCCAATGGCATCTCGGTTGACTATGAGGTATGGCTCAGAGGTGGAAGGTGATAGAAATAGCAAGGGATGGGGAGCAGAGGCACATATGAACCAAAAAGGTAAAGCTTAAGTACACCAGTGCAGATCCCAACCTGCACAGGTACTTTATTCATTTATGCCCACCAAGTTCATGTTTCATTACATCCGTAAAATGACAGCATAAATACAAGTCTGGGAACAGGGCTGTGTAACTGTCATTTGCTCTGGTGGAAGGGGTTTCTGTCCAACTTCTTCCACGAGATTCTGCTTTTGGCTGCTATAGCTATGTGGACATTCAGAGAATTGAACTGTGAGGTCAAATAGTGTGAGGTTCTGCGTAGTGGAAGTACTGCAGAAGAATCCCATATTCCAGAAGCTGTACTTTAAATAGTTTTTTCATGATCTCAGTTGGACTCATACTTGTTACTGACTCCTCAGATTTTGTCAGATACTAGGTTAAAGAGTACTCAACAGCTCTAGTGGGGCAGACAGCAGCTCTTAGTAAATACATGATAGTAAAATAAGGAAGCAAGTAAAAAGATTGATCATTGTGTGTGTGTGTGTGTTTGTGATTGTTTGTTTGTTTGTTACAGTATTTATATTCTACCCTTTATAATGAGGCCTCAGGGCAGCATACAGTATAAACAATTAAAAAAAAACTTCTGGATTAAACCATAAATTATTTAAACACGATACCAGCATATTAAATGAGATAGAAGTTAAAACAAGTTTAAATGTTATGTATGTGTGCTTTTTGAAGTAATTAAAGCCTACAAAGGTTTTAACAAAATGCCATATTTTGGTGTTGGGAAGAAATCAACATTGGTGCTAATCAGATCTCCAGGGGGGTATTCTGCAGTTAGGGCCACAACCAACAAATCCATCTCCCATGTTCTTCCACTTTGTATTGCCCCATTAGTGGCATACAAAGGAAAACCCCATCTGCAAACCTCATTTATCAGGCAGGTATGTATAAAGAAAGACACTCCTTCAAGGAATAAGGTCCTAAGCCATTTAGGGCTCTGTATGTCATCATTACCTATAATTTTTGGTCTAGAATCAAATTTGACAGCCAGTGCCCCTCATTTAAGACCCATTTTACATGTTGTCTGTATGGTACTCCTGTCAGCAGTCTTTCTGCTATCTTTTGCACTAACTCTAGTTCCCGAGTCATCTTCAAAGGCAACACCATATACAGTCGGCCCTCCGTTTTTGCAGGGATCTGTTCCAGACCACCACCCCTGGGAAAAACAAGACTTGCTGATATTCAAGCCCCATAGGCTTGAATGGGGCATGCCCCTGCAGACACAGCCCATTGATCTTAACAGAGGTCGCCCCTCTGTGAATATTCAAAACCACGGATCTCAAGTCTTTGAGAATGGAGGGACAACTGTAGAATGCACTGCAGCAATCTAATCAGGAAGTGACCAGTAAATGAAGTACTTTGGCTAAGTTACTCCTGTCCAGAAAAGACTGGAACTGGTGCACCAGTCAAAGCTGGTCTTAAGCACTCAGATGTGTAGTTATTATATGGGTTCTATACCTCAGGAGTCAGATGTTCTCTCATTCTTCTACTGGGGCATGATTTGAGTTTCCTCTTTGGATCCTGGGATATATTGCATATTGCATAAAGATAGCATGTCATCTTGAACTCCTACTCACTATCTCATGCTCTTTCTCTTTGTTCTCTCTCTCTTTAGGAGGGGAAGCTTTACTGGTGTGATGCCCGGACAGATAAGATAGAACGCATAGACCTGGAGACTGGTGACAAGAGGGAGGTGGTCCTGAATAACAACAACATGGACATGTTCTCCGTATCAGTCTTCGAGGATTACATCTACTGGAGTGACAGGTCTGTACCCTATGTTTCTAGCCAAGAGCAAGAGAGGCTATAATAAAGAAATACTAAGGTCATGCTTAGAAAGGCTTCGCAGTCAATGTTTTTCTTCTTCCTTATTCCCTCTCCCCCCCGGCCTAAGTTATGCTCATCCTGGCTGGATATTTTATATCCTTAGTTGAATCCTGTTTACATATACAAATATGTTGTTTGTTATTGTGTGCCTTCAAGTCATTTCCAACATATAGCGCATGTATGGTGAACTTACCATGGGGTTTCCTTGACAAGATTTGTTCAGAGGAGGTTTGCCCTTGCCTTCCCTTGAGGCTGAGAGCATGTGGCTTGCCCAAGGTCACTCAGTGGGTTTCATGACTGAGCTGGGAGTTGAACCCAGGTCTCCACAGCTGTAGTCCTACACTCAAACCACCGTGCCACACTGGCTCCCTATGCATACATGCATACACACACACACACACACACACACACACACACACGTTATATCTTTTGAAAAGGCTGCATCCATAAATTCTGCTTGTTATGAATGCACATGTATCTAATTTTAGATGTTTTAATCAAGCAAGAAGTACGAGCTTAGAAAATGAAGGTGGCAACTTCATTGGGCCTTGGAGTCAATTTTCTGCCCTCTAGGACCTTCTATGGTGTTACAGCTCCCTGACTCTGCCATTAAAATTAAGGTGCTGAATTTTGACAATTGGCAGATTTAAATGCTTGCTTTAAATCTGGTAGCACACTGATGCAAGCCATTTAAATCAAGCAAAATGTTTGGTTTACATAGTTTTCATCAGCATAAATTTTGTTGATGAATTTCAGTGATGTGACTTTTGAGGGTGCCTTGGATGGCATAGTAA